GGTCAGTCCTGGCCTACGGCCAGACAAAGTGTATTTCAGCAATTGCTTTCCAGGCTCCTGAACTTGCCCGGCTTCATATGAACTCCATGGGTACCCGTAGGCGATAGAGAGGTCCATTTCCTTTTCCCGTTCCACAAAGTACTTCGACCGCCCCACTGCAGTCCATTTGGCGGCCTCCTCCCTCTCCCACTGGGCCCGATGTTTCATCATTTCCTGAATGGGTCATTGCTCTTTCGTGATGGGCTTTGAGACTTCCAGGTCAGGAGGGGGTGTTCTCCACAGGATGAAAGTGTCCCCTTTGAATGGGGAAGAAGCAGGGGGCTCCGTGGGATGCCGCACAACGACCAAGGGTGTCTGGGTTTTGGTGGCCACCCTCTAGTGACTTTGCCCAGACATGGGGGGATGAGGAAGGGGAGCGCTGGTCTTCATGGAAGTGCTGGCCGGCCGTCTCCACCCAGGGGCCTCGTATAGCTGGGATGGGGAGGACTTCGGTTTGCAGGGGTGGGATAAGATTGAAGGCTCTGTAGACTACAACCGGAATGGAGGATTCCACAGATTTTGATGGTGGCTGCGAGGGTGGCTGAGGGCCTGAGTGGGATGCTGAAATTTTGGGGATCCTTGGCAGGGAAGGCAGGGATCTTGCCCATGTTGGGATGGATGTGTGAATTCACAGATTACCACTAGAAGAACCAAAGTTACAGGTAAGTAACCTAACTTTCTTCATAGTGGTCTCTGTGAGTGCACACAATTGGTTTAATAGCAAGCTGTACTCACCGGCAGGAGGGTCGTCATGGTATCAAGGATGACAGTATCACCCGTCCAAACACCGTATCATTTTTGGCTCTGACATCCAATTGGTAGTGTTTGGCAAACGTCAGAGGGGTAGCCCAGGTGGCTGCTTTGCAAATGTTCTGCAGTTGGACACCTTTGAATAGGGCTGTCGAGGTAGAAACCGCTTTGGTGAAATGGGCCTTGCAAATAGAAGGCAAGGGCCCTTCTGACATCGAGAGAGTGGAGTTTGCGCTCCAGCGGTGTGGTTGGAGACGGAAAATCCATTTTTGCCACTGACAAGGGAACTGCGAGGCTTCTTATGTGCCCCCAAAGCCATTCCCTCCCCAGAAGTGGTGGGATCTGAGCTTTTGTTTGTCTTCCTCCCCTTCCGGCTTGGTTCCTCTTCACTTGCTGGGCTTTTCCCCCTCTTTGCCTTGGTATTGAATTTAGGCCTGTCAGGTGCCTCGGATGGTTTCCCTTGGGAGGGTCTTGGCCTGGCCACACCTTTCTTGGCTTGGGGTTCCTGAGACGGGCCTCCAGTGTCATCACAGGGCTGAGGAGGGGTTGCCAACAGTTCCTGGGCCTGCCCGGAGTCCCTGGGCTCTGTTGGATCCAGAGAGGGAATGATGCTGTCCAGAAGGAGGGGCTCCATGGAAGAGACAAGGTCCTCAAAATCTGGCAACTCAGTGAGGAGATTCTCTGGCAGCTGGATATCATCTCTTGAGCTCATAAGGAGACTTCTCTCTTGGGCAGGAGGCAGCAGCTGAGACTCCAACATTGGGTTTATTTGACCAGCCCCTCCTGGAAGAGAGGGAACAAAACCAGGACCCTCAATCAGAAGGCACGGACTCTTCCCTTGATTGCCAGGGCAAAGCCTGAGCAGCTGTCTGGTTGCAGCCCTGGGGATGGAGCTCCTTCACACATACCCCCTGATCCAGTGGAGCTGCCTCCCCTCGCCTGCTTAACAGAAAGAGAAAGCAGGAGTCTCCCTTTCGAACCACTTCCTTGCGTTTCTCCAGAGAAACCCTGGTACACCACTTGCCCTCTGCTGCAACCTGGGGTTAGCCGGGTCTGAGGTTTGCCAGGAACATCTGCTTGGCGGCCTTGGTGGCATTTGGGAAATGCGATTCCTTCATGTTTCCAGGGAAGGATGTGGGACGTGCTGTATGTAAGTGACTGGCTCTCTCCTTTTTGGGCTGAACGGGGAAAGCGAGAAAGTGAAGGTGGATTGGCCCACGTCTAATAAAGCCTTTCCAACTCCCGGGACAGCTTCCTTGGTAAGACAGGACAAAACCAATTCGCCTCTACGGGTTCTGTGTGCACTTGTTTCCCTTCTGCACTCACCGTGGGATCCTTCATGGAGTGTCTTGATGTTCTCCGCAGATGCCATGGCAGAGGAAACAGAGGGGCGGGCAGAAGAGGACTGGGAGCAGATGCTGCTCCAGCTGTTGGTCTCCACAGGCTTTCCCAGAGGGTTGGTGAGTCCTTTGGCAAGAGAGGAGGCGATTGCTCCTGAAAGAGAGAAGAGAGGATGCCTGAGCCTCTGTTCTAAGCTCACCTGGTCCTGCCCTCTGGTAGAAGGAGGTGCCTGGGCCAACGTTTGGGGGGCCTTCTCCACTGGAAGTCCCATTAAGAAGTCTGGAAGCTGTATGAGGAGCAGGCATAGCCTCCAGAAGCCGTCTGCGAGAGACGCCCAGAACAGACGCCTGTGGATCTCAGCATGCATTTCCAAGTCCTGCCTGCACCCGCAATGGATGTAAGCCAGGGCCCTTGTACAGGTCAGCCACCCAGTGCTGATCTTACCTAATGGTATTACCCAATAGTATTATAAAAGGTACAATTTTACTCAATTTCAGAAGCAGGAAGCCTGGCTATGGTCTTTTGTTTCTCTCTTGCAGCCTCTTTGCATTCCCGCTGCCTTCTCTCTTTTTTTACCTCTTATTCTGCAACCTCTCCAAAAAAAAAAAAAAAAAAAAAAAA